GTATATCGACAACGTGTACGTCGATACTCTAGGCGCCGCATACATTAGGATGTCTGCCGTGGACAGTGGTCTATATGCCACATATGACGATTTCAGAATCGTTATAACGCTATACTCATCGGAGAGTGACCGTTTTAGCAGAAAATAACAGCGTAAACATATCTATACTATTCATATAAGTTCGTCGGTATAGTTGAATAAATAAAGAAGCAAACGATTTGTGGAAGAATAGTCGATTCGAACAAATTGTCCAAAGCACTCAAAAAAATAATCTTGCAATAATAGCTAAAATTTTCTAGGTGTAAAAAATTAACTAAAACAGATAAATGATTAGCAACTGTTGTGATATTGCATATGTAATTACTTAATCAGTTTAGATGACAGAAACAGAATATATATCTGTATTGTTTGTGAACTTTAAAAAGAAAGTTTCTCTAAAGCGCCTATCTATATAAGATCAATCACGTGTTAGATCATGCAATGAATAACATTTAGCAATGGTACCTAAATTTTTCAGAAGCTATTGCTAGAACATTACTGCTATAAATTCTATATGTGACAAACAATGTTTTCACAGATACGAAAAATAGCGATACATTCTTGTTGCGATATCTAGAAATCTAACTACATCAGCGAAATATTTTTTTGAGTGAGATAGCGATAAAATGATGATTATCAGATAATGATTAACACAAATATGTTGTTTAACATTACATGAGTAAGCAAACAAGGAACTTTATACCGATAGATTTTTCTACTGATGGATATTTCTTCATCCTTATCATTTGTATTGATTTGAATCGCTTATTATAGATAAAAAATTTATTAGTTTTATCACAAGTGATAAACATACTTAAATGCTACTTTATTCAAAACGCTCTCAGATCGATATAACATACAGTCTCACTGTGGAAAAAAATCGGCGAACGTATGAGACTTGAATTATGAACTGAAGTATTTATTTTACTTCTACTCGATTGTGGCTATTATCTTTTATTTGACATCAGCGTTGCTGATAAAAGCTTGTCGATTTAATATCTGATTCTGCTTGGCGTCATATTAGCGACACGACCTTAAAACGACTAAAACGATGATTAAAACGATATTTTTTAACGAAGATATTCTATATTGGAAGATATTCTATATAGTCAATATATTAATTAAATTGTAGTTATGTGCATCTGCCAAATTTACGCCAGTTAAAATCATAAGTACATATATGTCCCAATTACTCGATGTTGCGAGATAAAGTTACATGCCAGTTACACGAATAACTATTTATATATTTACTAACGGCGTATCTCTTGTTAATTATAATCATTTCAATTCTAAAACTCGTGCTATCTTAATTACTTATATAAATTTTAGTTTTTACGTTAAATATGTAATTAAACTTTTTTTCGTATACTAAGCGATTGGACAGTGTATTGCCTCAATGCATTTGTATTTTTTGAACTGTAAGTTTGTCGAGCAAAAAGTAAATGTTTCTCGCGTCAAACTTTTACAGGGAAAGCATCTTCCTTGCTGCAAGTCCGCGAGAAACGATCGATACCTCCCTTGAGGTGCTCTCACTGTTGCTACGGCTATTATTACGGCAGCAACAAAAACGGAATACATGGATGAAAGTTGATCGCTATCGGGTATTACTTCGGCATCCATATATTCATCGTGTTCTTTTGCGCGATGTACTAGATACAAAAGATCGTGCCCGCAGAAAAAATTCGATTTTATATTCATCGGTTTCGTAAATGCCTGCTGTGCACTCGTGTGCACTTGGTTATCAGCCGCAATAAGCGATAACATAGTATTAAATATTGCTATTACATAATTGAAGATGTATGGTTTATGTGATGAGTATTATGGATTGGCTCGATTATTAATAAAAGATTAAATTTATTTATTAGTATCGTATGATTATTCGCTGAGTCTTGTTACATGAAATCGAAATAGGATTTGTTCCTGAACACATTCATGCAAATTTTTTTATAAAGTATGGATTGTTTAATATAAATATTTATGTAGGTTATTTTATTATTCTTATCCACCAATAGATCATTTAAAATTAATATATATATATATTTTATATATCAATTTATTTAATTATGTTACAAAGAATTGCGGTAGCGCAGTTATTCATTTTTAATATCAGCTGTCTTTAGTGAAGAAGTAAGTTCGATACAGCGCGAAAACTCGTAGGGCAATACTTCGTTCTACGCTCGCTCGACGACAGAAATAAATATACTTCCAATATTCTATCCTTTGTATCCGGCACGATTAAGAGCGCCCATTTAATAACTGCACGATGAAAACTTGGAGAGATTGCCCCTCGAATTGTAAAGATTAATAATGGTCGATATCTATCCAGATTCCCGAAGGAACTGGGACATGAACGGCGGAAAAGGGGAAAGAATGGACGTGGGTGAGACGAGCTACGACTCGACGGAGCCACTCAGAAAGTAATTTGCTCGATGCTCGAGCGAACAGGAGGAATCGTGCGTTCACAGAAGGTGAGGAGGAACGAACGGAAGAGAGACGGGACAGAGAGAGAGGGAAGAATGAAAAACTGCAGAGAAAGAGAGGTGGGATTCTGTGCGTAAATAGGGAGAAAGTCGGTGACGACTGCTGCACGGGGAGAGAAAATGCAAAATGGCTCTGTAGGACGTACCAATAAAAGCACACTGCCGCGCCTTCCGCCCACCTTGTTGTAACACCTTCATTTCCAAAGTAAATGAGGGCGCGCCCTCGGTTGAACGCGCCGTTGCGAAAACATAAACAGCTGGCATCGCGATAGAAGGAAAACGAGAAGGAAAGGCGCTAGAAAAGATTCCTACTTTCTTGCAGTGTGTCGTCGGGTAATATCGCCGTGTAAAACGGAAAGAGGCGAAGATGTTCTATTAGGAGCGACCGAAGGCGCATTCATCTCTCGCGAAATATCTCAGATTTGTACATGCTCGTATTCTCCTGTTCAATTTTTCACTTATTGTTAGTCAAAATAGAATTTAGAGTTCAATGTTACTAATTATGCAATTGGAAGTTAAATCGCTTTCCAGGATTATCACATGACGCAGGAATCATGTAGATACATTAATTTAATCATCATAAATTAAGCAAAATTAATTCGAAATTGTTCTTAATCTATAAAAAGTAAAGCTCGAATAATTCTCCACTTTAACATTATTTTGCTATAATATATCATACGTGACTCCAAGTTCTGGAAAATGCATTACATTTTGTCCCACGCTTGTACGATTTTCGTAATGAATATTAATTATCAAAATTCTCACGAAACTTTACTAGAATCCGCCTCACTACACAGAAGCAACATGCGTTGACATGACGGCGCGTGCAATAATCACGTAAACGTCATTATGCTAGAGAAACTTTGCGCCTAGAATAATAAGGGAGTATAAATGCAAATGAAAATTATGAAAATGAGTTATTAAGCATGCATCATTCTCATACGAAATTGAAATGGATTGAGAATTCTCATGATCAGAGCAGCGTTAAAGATTCCTCTCACAGAGGTGCAATTTAAATAATTATCGTACATTCGAATAAGCGCGCAGACAGCACGCTTTGGCAAAGAAATTCTGTGAGGTTCATCTTGCTGGAAACGTCTCTATCGCCTCCCTCGCTCGATATTGTGCAATGAATCACGTTTTCGCATATTCCCTTGCTTTTTTTCGCGCAATCAAGCCGCTGTTAACGTGCGAGCATTATAGACGTATAATCGTAGAAAATCATCGAGTTTGAGAGGTTCTGTCAAGTGTACGGCAAATACAACGACGTGTTTGCCGCCATCTTAAGAGAAAATTTGATTACTCGTCTCTCGTGTTTCCTGGCGAGCTGGATTGACGTAAATCTCCTCTATGCCTTTGCCCGCGTCTCTTATTCATAACGCGACAGCTTATGAAAAACTCACGATCTCATGACAGCTTTATCAGTCAGTGAAGCATGCGCCACTCACTCGAAAATTTTCTCAAGATAAAGCATGTTATTTTGAACTCCGTTTTACAAATTGATTGAAATTATATATAAATTCCGATCTACATGAAAATTCAAATTCTTAAATAGAATTATAGTTATTTGTAACGTTACAAATTGTCCGCAGTTGGCGTTAAAATTACGTAATTATTGAATTGGAAATCCATTGAAATTATAGAAATTTGCTTTGCTGCCTATTATAAATATGAACCGTTGTAATCGTGTTCCATTTCCATCGTCAGTGTTCCGAATTGGTTGGCCCATTTCAAAATAGCCGTGCAGTTTGCATTATATTGCATAAAGTTTGTATCACGGTGAACGTAGCACACGTCACCGATGTTAAATGTGTAGTTGTAGTCGCTGGTAGGTTCGTCGTAAAGCGTCAACTCTTGGCGATATCGCGCCGAATAGTTCGCGCCGCAATGACGTACTAGTAACGTTGAAAGTGTATACGATGCAACATGTAGGTACGTACGTACTCGCCGATGGAGCAGTAAATATTCTTTCTCATGCATTATGTAAACGCGGAGTATCTTGTTTCCTGCGTTACCACGCGCCCAAGAGACCCCGATTCTTTATGACTGCTCTTTCTTTTGTTTATATAGCGAGTTGGATACATACGTACACACACCAACGACGCGCGGTGCGTGTGTGCAAACGGCGGTTAGTGCACCTGTAGAGCCCTCATGACGGAATATAAGAAGTTTCACCTCGAGAACATGAACCTTGTCGATACGATCCTGTTCGTCAAAGATAACGTATTTCGAGATGGAACCTTCAACGTGAAACGGAGATAGTGCAAATAAAACTTTTATCTTTTTTTAATCGCTTTTCATCTCCACAAACAGTGGAGAAAAAAAGATTATTATTATACTCTTAAAAAAATATTATTACGCTGTCACGTCGACTACAACAACGCGTAATCTCAACGGATGAGTTAATAACTCGTTTTTAAGTTTTTAATGGAAATGACAATACGATTATGTATTAATGTTGTCGAATCTGTTTATCTGCAGATATACAGACAGCGAATACAAGCGCGCTGAAACAACATCGAGGCGTAAAAAATCGATGCGACGAAATCTACATTCACCAACGAGGTGGACTTGAGGTACGTTCCGACTCGCCACGCTCGCAAAGTGATAATCGCAAAAATGGAAACTTACGGGTAAGTTCAAACGAGTTTCTCCTCACGCAACAATGCACCGCTTCTTATCAATAAATAATAAACGGAGCGAATATTCCCGAGTGGAAAGTTCCTAATTTTGAGTAAAACGCGTTTCTTGCATTCTCCCGTTCGTTTCCGCAAGCTCCGGCTTACTTCCGCCGCGATTCCCGCCGCTTCTCTCATTCGCGACACCAAATCCACGCAACTCCTTGCTATTTGGTATTCGAATTGCCACCTCCGGCATCAGTCAAGATTTCTTGCACGTATATCGCCAGGTATTCACCTCGCTGATATTCAGCACCAAATATCGCTCGTGCTTTTTATGCAAAACGCCAAGTTTTATCGAACCATAGGAAGCAAGGTTGGCTGGCACGTAGGGACAAGTCCGACCACGTACGTTGCTTCCAGAAATGTACAAACAGAAAATATTATTTGTGCTTGTCGTCAAACGTCGTGTCAAGTGTTTTTTTTTTTGGACATCGCGCATATTTGTATTTTGAACACGACCACATTTGTTGGTTGATAATAATTTTTTTATAATTGTGGATTTTATTATTGCGATTCTTGCGGATTTTATTATCAGAATACTTTGTCAACAGTACAGCGCCTTAAATCCTTTTATGATTTTTAATCCACACATTACAATGCATAGTGGTATTGCTATGTAAACATGATGAGATACTCAAATCTCCAAGCAGCAATGCCAATGCAAACTTAGATATGCATGTAATACATCGCGTGCGACACCGAGCACGAAATCCTCGCATCAACGTATATATAACTTTCACTGCGATCTGTCACGTTAACGTACGGCGTTTCTGCATATCATCGTCGCAAGGATAACACGAATATGTACGGGATAAAGCATTGCCAACGCATAAAATCATACACAAGGTGTCACGGAATTAAGTGTTTCACTTTTCATTCACAGATTAGTATGTTTATCTAGTTTTATTTCAAGTAATATAAAGCATCAAGAGATATAGCAATCATTTTTAAGATGTACAAAATTTTTTATTAACTATTGTATAAGTAAAGAATTTATTAACTATTGTATAAATGAAAAGATTTCATCAAATTAAGCTTTATAAATGCAATATTGATTTTTTCGTTATATATTTTTATTTTAATTCTATTTTATCAAAATCTTAATTTTTGTAATCATCAAATATTTAAATGTAAAAAATTCTTAAAATCGTGTGTAATTAAAATTTTATTTGCAAAAAAATTAAAATGGTAAATCAAATGGTAATCAAAATTATATATTTAATATAAAACAACAATTTCGAGACACCTTGTATGTACAGAATAGAAACATAAATGCGCGTTACACTATAGAATTTTTTAAAACAACGCTCGTATAAAAATTTGCTCAGTATTAAAATGGGCAAGGTTTTACGTTAATCTAGATAAACGATTGTTCCATATCATCAGAGTACATTACTAGCGTATTACTAAATCCTGCACTCACTAAAAATAAAGGAAACCGTCGTACATCTTCCTTAACAGCCGTGGTCTCTTCTTCTTATTTGAGAGCATGTATTAAGATATAAATTATCTATGTATCTCCTAGTTGCATCAACGAGAAATATTCTTGCTAGATATACATAAGAGGATATGAAACATGGAAGCGCACTTAAGGGATAGCGATTATATTTATATACTTTAGTGCATGAAATATTTCTATTTAATGTGTCATTAAATAGAGGTATTGATAGTAGAAAGGTGATAAATACTATTGTTGCAAAAAATGTTACTACAATAAATAAATTAAACAACACAGATTACATACAACGATCGATAGTTAAAATAATTCGCTTTTTAGAGGTGTGTTTTATATATATATGCTAGACAGGATACATTATAAAATATTCTTCCGTTGGTCGCTTTGTTACGTATAAAACTTTATTAAACGTAGGAGTGGTCGATTTTTTTCTGTCATATAGACAGCTATCGGAATGCATACAATGCGTATCAAACGGATGTTCGTCCTATCGGGTTTCGGAAAGGGGAAGTGCGAAATTCGAAAAATCCATCAGCAAGTAAATGGGCAAAGCTAGGCGAGTATTGGTGACCTCAATGGTGCTATTCTGAAGGTGCATGATCGGTTTATGTAAAAGCTGTCAATGGTACAACTCAAACGAGCGATAGAGGGCTTTATCTTATTATCACAAGAGTCGGTATTCGTACCACGGATATCACCATCATACATTAATGCATACCGAAATGCAAATTTCGTTACACAATGCAACCAGATTGCACGACGAGACGTGTGATGAGCAGCGTGAGTTTGCCTCTCGTTTGCAACACCGACTCAGAAACGATCGAACTTTTGTTTGAATAATGCAAAAATGGTATCCGACGTGATCAAAACGTTTTACACAGTTTCCAGTAAAAGTGTTCAGAAATTTCTTAAATTGCGATTACAATGTAAATTTAATTCACGTGCAATAACGTTTACTTTGACGACAAATTGAAAATAATATAGAGTAGATAGGGAATTTTTTTTTATTTTATAATTAAATTTATCCGCGTAATTATTTTTAACTTAAATTTCTATTATTAAAAAAAATATATCGCTGCTTATTGTTTCAATCGTCAAATATTACTTGACGACATTGAAGGAAATAGAAGGACGAGAAGGAAGGTTCTCAGTAAAAGGAGAAGATAGTTTTAATTTGTGGGCAGCGGCATCTGCTGTCTTATTGGCAACTTATATTGGGTTTCTCCATTGCTATGATCAAGGCCAGACTCCGCGGTAGCTACAGTTCTAGGCATGGACGATCGATCGCTCCCTTTGTCCCGCACGAAAGATTCTCCGAAATCCTTATTCCGTTGAGACTTGCTTCCTTATTGCTCGCAATAACGTAGAAAAATAAAGCATTGGCATTTCTCCTGATATAATCTCTCATACTTTGAAAAGGGAGAAAAGTTTCCCACTTTTATTCCCATTAGAGTATACTTACTTGTGCTTCGTTTCAGAGGAAGCCGGTTATCTCCGGAGAAGTTAGGCGCGTCTAGATTAATAGTTGTTTCTACACGGCGTTTTAATTTCAAATCTTAATTTGTTATTAATACGATTATGCAGCACGGTACATAATATAATAGAAATGTATTTTCTATTTCATATCTATTTCTATTAAAATGGCATGTATTGAAATGATTAATCTTTTAATGGCATTTCATTATTCATTAGCCACTAGAAATTTGAGACCATAAATCATTGAAGGTAATAATAGAATTGAAATATGAATACGGAATACTAATATATATATAATGACAGGTTGACACTTCTCTTGATTATCATTCATGCTTTTCGTTAATTGCAAAAGCTATTTTGAACTAAAAAGGATCCATGCATCAACTGCGAGATAATACCAAGATTATTTTCGCCACTGTTATATAGTATTTCTGCTCACTTCTTTATATAACTACCATTTAGTAAAACCAGGTCGGTGTGTACGCCGGCACTGTGTGCTCCTCGCATTGTAGGAATAAGCAAACCGTATTTACATACATTTGGGGAAAGTTCTGCCGTAATTCCGTCATCTCTACGCGAGCGCTTTTATACAATTCAGCACGCTTGAAAGCACGCCCGGGAATTTGTGTTTCATAATGAGCCGGCGGATTTGCGATTAGCGTCGGGAAAGTCGTCGGCGTGCGGTTTATTATCTGACGGGAGCTCTTTATCGAAAAACCGCGATCGCTCGCTCGCTCGCTCGCTCGCTCTCGACGTGTCCCTGGTAGGTACTCGAAGGTACTTAGTTATCACAGCGATTCGTTTTCATGCGCCGCTCATGCAAACCCGGTCCTACTGAAATTCGATAATACCGCAACAAGCCTTTCAACAAGCCGCTTCAAAGAGCGCACTCGATTCACTTTTCCGCCGTCATCGATCGTACGCGCCGCCCGTGGTCGTCGTTCCCTCCCGAGAGATCGTTCCGTCGAGATTGTGGACGATTCGGGAGGTACCTTCGATCGTACCGGGAACAATGCTTAAGTGGCTGTTATCGCGTTTGAGCACAAGCCACAGGGCGTACCTGACCCATTTCGTGGAAGGTCCTGCGGGATGCAATAATGTCGTCTCCTCCGCGAGCGCACGTATCTCGGATCCTACCGGCAGGAGCGGCGCGGTGTAATGAGAATTACATTGTGCATTATCGTAAACGTAGCCGCTTCCCGAACGTCCCGCAGGTAATTATCCGGTAGTTGCAGAGAGCTCGGACAAGTGGCCGGTATTCTTCGGCATTCGAGCGCACTCGATTATTGGAAATATCTTATATATGCAGCTTTATCTGCGTCGTATCTTTTCTCATATCTACATATAATAATGTGCAGATTTATTCGAGCGATACTTATCGCTGCAATTGCACCGATTAACAAACTGTGCGTTTATTTGCGCATTGACATAACGCCTTTTACACATGCGGGAAAAGCACGATATTAATCTGATTCTATGTAGAAAACTAAGCTGGTATAATATTGTCCGAAAATAAGGATTACTTTTAAAGCACTGATTGCCCACGCGATACTCGCTTGAAGTTGCTTACGTTTTAACACTCCCGCGGGAAATCTATTTCATTTCGTGCACGAATTATATCGCAAAAAGAGCAAGCACGTCTTATCGCTTCGTGTCTCATCGCCAACAACGCTCTTTTTCATTACAAAACGCGAAACACCTCCGGATTAAATCGAATTAAATCGCATAGCAAACGACAAATGGTATATCATAAATATTGCGCAATTTGCTTGAAATAAATAAAAGATTTTATTTAACTTTAAACATTAAATCAAAATGAAAAATATACGCATGATAAAATTGTGTGAAGCAACGATTAAATAAGATATAAATCAATTCAGAGTTGCACGTTTGATACGCGTTCATTTTTTTCCGAGGCAAACTTTATCGCTTTTCTTTCTTCCAAACTTTCTCCCGCTTCTCGAGAGAGGGAGAAGCGAGATACCGCGCCGGTAGACGGGACGAAGTACGAAACGAGTTC